TGACTGATCTTATGCACACTGAGGGGTGTTACTCACATATAGGGGGTTTTGTCTGAATGACTCATCGTCCAGTTGGTTTTTGCTCATGTCCAGTGAGTCCAGGCTCGGCAGACCAGAGAAAGCTTGTGGAGCGATAACTCTGATGTTGTTCTCTTTTGAGATAAATCACATGGTAGGACATATAATTCAGTAAATGAATAATTAAAGTGTAAAAAGAGACTTGACTCTAGAATTCATCAATGAAGCTATATTCATGAACATACAAATAGATAAATAGCATACACTGCTGTTGACACCAAATTGGCAATTAGAGCCTACGATTTCACAATGTATACGTTGTTATGTTATCAGTATCCCAGCTGAATTACATTGAGAGCTGTTTGTTTCTGATCTGAACAAATCTTCTGGGCACATACATGCTCATTTTGGTGTGATGACTTCACTTAACAAACAACACACACACCTGCAACGTCCAGCTTAGTGGCCTCCAGGTTGTGCAGGATTGGCAGGTGAGTGACGCCGATGTTCCTGCAGCTGATCTCTCTGTTTGCAGTCTGGCATTCTCCGAGAGGAGACTCTGTGTAGTTGTAGTGTGTTTCTGTTTGATTTCCCGGAGCCTCAGTTGCTTCTACTTCTTCTTCTTCCTCTTCTTCTTCCTCTTCTTCCTCTTCTTCTTCCTCCTCCTCTTCCTCCTCTCAGAAAGAAAGTTAAAAAAAAAAGGAATTCAATTAACTCAATAAGGGGATTCAATAAACTAGGGGAAAGGAACAGCTTATTCATACAAATTATTTAACCTCTTCCTCCTCTTCATCATCATCATCATCATCATCATCCTCATCCTCATCCTCATCCTCATCCTCATCTTCATCATCATCATCATCATCATCATCATCATCTTCTTCTTCTTCTTCCTCCTCTTTTGCTTTCCCTTCATCCATCAGTCGCCGTTTTTCATCATGAAGAGCCTTCAGTACAGTTATGAGAGTGCTGGTCTCACGCTCTGCTTTTCCTGGTTTCCTCCAGCCATTCAAGGGCTTCCCCAACCCTGCCTTCAAGAAGCAAGAGAACACTTGATCACGAACACAGTTTTGAATTAGAGTACAACACGAGTGAAAACATGATAAAAATCGAATGGCATACTATTCTATATGCCACGGACTCCACTTTTTCCGCATGTTTCCTCTTCCCCCAAGCACCTCTTCTTCTTCTACCAGCCTCCACCTTCCTCAGATCAACTCCTTGGCTGTCTCTCGCCTCCTCTGCCTCCATGAGGACCTGCTCATACCCAGCCTCTTCATCACAAACCACAAAAAAAGACAATGAAAACAATTACAGACATTAAAGCTTCATTTCCACCAAAAGTACCAGAAATCTTAAAGTCCAAGGATCTTCATTTCAAGACACAAAAAGGTTCCTTCAGCCCAGTGTTATCTGCTTGTACACCAAAATACAAAGGGGAAGCTTAGCCGAAGTAATAGCCATATCCTTCTTGCATGTTTCATTTTTTTTTTAATCTAAAAATGGTCAAAGCTGTATTTTACTCTATTTTAACACTTTGAACAATTAAGCTTTTCATATTTGATTCCACACAGTCTCGTTGCTTTGTATTAAACAATGTAGCTGCTAAGACGCCAATTTTAAAAGTCCATGTACTAATGGAAGAACGACCCCCACAGCAGGGAACTTTTGTGGGGAAAAATAAAGTTCCCAGGACTCTATCAATTTCCTCGTCATTGTGGTGGAAATGCATCAAGTACCTCAAAAGTCTCTTGTTCCAGAGGAAAGGTCTTTCAGTGGAAACACAGATAAAAATAAATAAATAAAGTGACCTATTCGCCTGGCTTTAAATAAGCTGCTAAATAACTCAGGGAAATAACAGGGAAAGTGAGCATTTGGAAGACAAAAAAACGATTTCTTACCAGCAGGGAGGGTTGCACTTGAAACAAAAGGATCCGATAAGGCTGCTTCAGTTTGATGAACGCTTGCTTTTTCAATCTGACGTGTCTCAGAGTTGACAAAGTTTACATCCATGTGATGCCAAAAATTCAAACTTTGTCCTGAAAAAAAGTTGCCACAAAGTAAAATCAAAAAGGTCCATGTCCTTGGCATCTGCATTGTTGGATTTTAACCGTATTTAAGCTGTTTGGTTGGACAGAGAAATTGAAAGTTATGAGGTCTTCAGGGTAGACACAAAGAATAAAGCAAATCCACCGAGAGTGCGTCAGAGGAAAGAAAATGTGAGTAGCAATCAACGTGAGAGTTTACACGTGAGGATCTCCAGAAAACCAGAAGATCTTAAATTATGAGCACTTATGCTAAATGCTGGGTTGAAGAGTCTCTAATCCCAACCAGACAAAAGAAATACTAAACTATATTGCACATGCCCTCATCTCAAAGTGAAGAGTAAGAGGTGGGCAGGGATATCTAGTAGAAGGTGGAGGTGGAGAGGTAAAACAACCCACAAACTCTCACATTGTTAATAAAGGCCCTCGCTCATCTTACCATGAAATATACAGACCTGCCCTGCTCCTCCTTGTCTCCTCACTCTGTCATAACTGTCTGCAAACATGAGGTGGAAAGTGGAGACATACACAAATAGCAATGGTAGAGACTGAAACAAAACATGTTTCATATACCTGTGACAAATTCTAGTTGGACAACATCCAACATTATATTGTGGGTTGATCGGCTGTCAAGTTTGTTTTTCTCCTGTTTTAAAAAGAGATTTTCCAAGAGGAGACAGGGTTGGTAGACAGTCCAGGTCGGAGTCAACAGTGTTTGGCCAAGCTCCACTAGCATCTATGTATGAAATCAAACATGACCTAAGAGGAATGAACAATGAGCCCGTCTTTACATTGTGTACATATATATTCTGTCTGAGCACACATAGACTCCAATGCTTAAACATGTACTCTGGAGTGTGTGTGGGCAACACATTCACCGCCAAGCCAAGCAGGTGCCACCGAGCCAAACTGGGATTTTCACAGCTGGGTGAAACCTGCTGACAGACCCTCAAGCATGCGCGCACGCACGCACGCACGCACGCGCACACACACACACACACACACAATGAAAATGCAGATGAAATGCAGATTTGTGATAATCAAGATTACTTATATATACATTTCTTATGAAATGAATAAAGTGAATAAAATGGAATAATTAGATGTTTATTTCTGCGCCTGGAGCTCACCTGATAACACGGAGACAACCGCAAAATCCAAACATATCCCAAATGGTATTTTGGAGAATTTTAACATTCAATACTGAAACACTCAGTTCTTGATGTGCTATTCCAAGTTAAACAGTGATGTGTCCAGAGACTATTCATTTTAATGTTGACAGGAACATGCAGTAATCCACTGACCACATTCAACCCCTTCCTAAACCTCAGTCAGACAACACCCTGAATTAACAATTTCCACAGCTCAGAAGAGTGCACAAGCCTACGAGTCACCCAACGTATAAAAACACAGCATTCTCCTTCAGGTCCATCTTAGCACAACTGCTCCAACTCAGAATAGAAGATATCCCAGACAGTGTGGCCACTTACAGCTCTACAACATGTTTGACATGTATCTGTAAAAGCCACATGCAGCAAAGATTTTAAACACAGCAATTTAAAGTCTCCAGCCATGTCAGCAGCTGTCAAGGTTTACCTATGAACAGTGGTGCTTTTAGCTAGTTCCCAACATGTTTTGGGCGTTTAGCATGATCACCATCTTCAGTGGGTAAGCAAGCCAACAGCTGCTACTTAAACATTAAGTAAGCTAAGCTAAGACTTTTCTTAAACAAAACTGAAAAAAAAGATTTGACATCATGATAACTGGAGATATTTCACTGCAGTTTTTAAGAGAGCTATTCCCATTAGTGGCACAACTGTGACATTGTGACTTTTTATTCTGGAAATCTTATACTGCATAAGAGTAAACTACAACCCCCTTGTGATGGCTCAAAGTCAGGGGGAGGGCAGAATGGATGCACCATTTCAAGGCTAGATATTGGTGTCATTTTGATTGTAAAAGCTGGGAATTATTTTTTTTAAAATGGGTCCATATTCTTTTAATTAATTTATCCATGAAATAATAATAATTTCCATGTTTACTTTACCATGTCTTTCACAAGGGGCTTACGAGGTGGTCTATACCAGCAGCATTACAAAAGCATGCCAGTATACTGACCAGGGTGGAGGATGTGGACTAGCTAAGAACACTCAACATAGAGCCAGGTTACAAAGCTCGTCAGGTAAAACAAACAAAGACAATTGAATTTGGTTACTTTTTTTATTTAGCACAACACAGCTATGACAGGATGACACTGGTGACCTGGAACATCAGTAACAAAGTGTGATGCTGTGTGGCCTGGAATCACCAGAGGAATGTTCAAACCGTTTATAACTAAAGTGATTTACACACAGAGGTTAAAGAAAATGTTTTCTAACACAGCTAAGTGCTAAAAGCTGTGAGTTTAAACTAAAAATGAGGATTTAGAACATGATATTAATGCCAAACAGTAACAGTTTTAAGGAAAAGTGAATTAGGAACACTGAGCTGAGGGAGAAAAACATTGGGCATGGTGGAAAGGAATGTGACGGGTAATGCTGGAATGATGAACTAAGTCATAGCCTGACAGTTCACAATAGACCAGAACCTAGATGAGCTGCTGGCACAGATTTTAATCCAACTTTATTATCATATGTTGGAATTTTGGTTGGGCAATTTGCAGGACAACATTTTGTACCAGAGAAGGAATGTTACAGACTCAGAAGAAACCACAGGGAGAAGAAGGTGTGCAAGAGGGAGAAATAGTAAAACAACAGGCTTCAACAACACTGCACTTCTATTGATATCTCTTTGCAATAAGAATACAGCGGAAGAACACTGCACTTGAGTGATGCCATAAAGATGGCACTTCAGAAAAGTTAACAGATTCTACAGGTCTTCATGTGATCATGTCAGGTAGCTGCACGGTGGACCGAAAAGGTGGTTGTAATGCAGAGCAGGAAGCGGAGGATCCCGTGTGCAGTCCTTAGTTCGCAAAGGTCTGACGCACAGCATCAGCAATGTGCTTAGCGCTGATACCGAATATGTCGAGAAGCTCTTGGGGCTTCCCGCTGCGGGGAACGCCGCTCACTGCCATCCGGGTTACAACAATGCTGGGCTCACTCCCCACTGCGGACAGCACTGCTTCACCAAGACCACCTGTGAGGAGGGGGGGCAGACCATTAGAGAGGACGAAAACTCAATGTGCAAGTCTTATTTGTAGAGTAGTAGATTAAACTACAGACTGGTTGGTTAGCTCTTATTAGACCCTTATACATTAATACACATTGACACAACAAAAAGCTACCTCTTTGAACATCGTCAGTTAATCCCTACAGAAACTCAAGCTGATCAACAGAAAACAACCCACCCTCCTTGTAGTGGTCCTCCACAGTGATGATCTTTCCCCCTGTAGCTCTGGCACTCTCCAGAATAGTAGCGGCGTCAAGGGGCTTGATGGTGAAGGGGTCAATCACACGAATGTTCTTCCCTACAGAAATTTGATTGAACATGGAATGA